CAATTTATCCTTATTTTTAGATTATCATATAATTCTTCTAGTTTTTAGTTTAATTTTTTTGTCTTTTAGCTAGTTACTTACAATTACCGGTTCCCAGTTAAAGCATCAAAATCAGTGGCAACGTGGCTAAATAGATGAGCGGCTGCCAAAAGGAGAGTGTTGGAGCGAGTGCTCCTAGCAATCCTCTTAAGTGAATGACATTAAAAAAAAAAAAACAAACCATAAAAAAACAGAGCCCTGCAAATTGTTTCTAGAGATTTCTTGAATGGAAACTCAAAAAATGAGGAGAGAATGAAGGCACATCAACGCAGCTAAAAACATGTCCAAATTCAAGCAAGAGAAACATCAGAATCTACCACAGGCAAGAGGAGAAAAGCACAACCCATATAAAAAAACAGATCCATATTATGTATTTGAGTATAAAATTCAATTAAATAAGGAACACGACCACTCAAAATCATTGAACCAAAACCATATATTAGAAAGTTCAATAAATCAAAATAAAATCAACATAACAAGTGAGAAATCTCATTTAGGGGAGTTTTATTCATATAACCAGCCCCTAAATTTAATTAATCTCTATTTTCTGTACTGTGATTCGAGAGAAAATTCTTTAAATTGAAGCTTGAATTGATTTTCAAAGTGTTTCCAAGTGTTTTCCTCCCTCCTGTTGGCTCTCAAATACCAGAAAATAATAATAATAATAATAAAAGCCGAGTCCCCCCTCAAACAGCAAAATACTCCCTATTTATAGATTAAAACATGTTAACCCTAAACCCATCTCAAATATTCACCCCGATTTCCCTCAATTCCTCACATCCCTTGATCATCCAAGGTTAAAATTAACCACGTCAACCAAGAAAGCAAGGAGATCGATGTACCTTACCCCGACTAAATTGTCTTTCCAGTTATGCTTGTTGAAAAGTTTGGCTCCTATCTTCGAATCTTGTCTTGATTTTCAGAGGAGGAACCCCAGATCTATGGGATCTGCTGGTGAAGGGAATGGGGAAGGAGAAAGAGAAGCAAAGGGGGAAAGGAAGGAAAGGAGCAAGAAATAGTGGTTTGGTTTGGTGTTAGACGGATATGGCTTTAATGATAAGAGATGCACCGGAGAAGGAGAAGGAGAAGATGACCGGAGACGAGAGAGAGCAGAGAGAGGAAGAGCGCAGAAAGGGTAGAAATTTTTTACTTTGTTTTTTGTAATTAATTTCATTTATGATAATTGTTTAAGATTAATTAATTAATTGGCTTAAAGATAGATATGAGTTATTAATTATTAAATTAATTGATTGAGACCCACGTGTTAGAATTAGAATAAAATGTTAACATTGATCCATATTATTTATCCATGTCATCATTTTTCATCCTCTTATTGTCCACATCATTTCCATGTCATTGTTGTGAAATAAATATGATTCTACCGTTAACTAACTCCATGTCAGCTAAAAATAAACGGAAAGACTAAATGGGAGTCAAAATTTCAATCTTAAGGGACCAAATTAAGATTTTTTAAATTTATAGACTAAATCAAATGATTCTAAAATAATTGAGAAACCAAATTAAAAATTTAACTTTCGAAGTTTTGTCTCGTCTCTGGTTGCAAGTAGTTTTACCGCACAATGCTCCCCCAATAAAGGGGTGTATATAGGTGTCAGAATGTTTAAATTTATCATTAAAATTAAATAATAGAAACGGATCCATTTTTAAATAAAAAATAAGGTAAATTTATTTATAAAATTTTTAATTTAAATAAATTATTTTAAATTTAATAAGTGACTTGAAATGATGTTAATAATTTATTAATAATAAATTTATTAATATGCAATAGGTTAATAAATTAATAACATTATTTAAAATTACACATTAAATTGGGATAAATCCAACTGTAGTCCTCGTACTTGTCAAAAATGTTCATTACCGTCCCTCTACTAAGGAAATATTCAATGTCATCCTTCTACTTAACATACAGTATAAATGCCGTCCCTCAACTATGCTTTTTTTGTTCAATATCATCCTCAATTGGATGTCGTCCATATTACCGTTTACGTTATCCGTTAATTACTTAACAGTCAAACATTCAAATTATTATCTACATTTTTTTTTTGTATACTTGTACTCACTACTGGGACCGTGGGACCCATTTCATGCATACCCTTTATTTTTCTGTCTTCTTTATTGTAATCATCAAGCAAGCTACGAAGGAAATGGCGCAGGGAAAAAAAAATGATAACAGAGCTGGTGGTCTAATTAGAGGTCGGTTTTTTGGGCCTTGGCGAGATACGTCGGCATGGGGTTAGAGTTGGTCTGTGGGGAGCGGACTGGGATCTCGTCGAGCGACTTTCCGATATAATATATCACCTTGGAGAAATCCAACGACTGACATTTGTCCCCCAACATGATCTCCCTCTGCCACAAGTCCACACCCCACTGTCCCCGAACTCCTCCTCTCCGTCGCTCTCGCCCTTCTTCTTCTTGTGCGCAAACATGATCACCTTGTTGCTGATGGTTTTCAGCAGCTTCTTCGGCTTCATCGTCCTGAGCGTCGACTTGGTCGGTAAATGGAACCTTGGTGACTTAGCGGCGATGTCACTCAGCAAGGCTTTCAGCTTCTTTGCAGCCCGTTTAACGTTCTTGGAACATAAAGCCATCAACCTTAGCATAAATTTGGTCCTCAACTACTTCCACGGAGAGGAATTTGGCTCTCTGGTGATCTCATTTCTTTTTGAAAGAATAATTACAATTTGACAGTTTATATAAAATCTTGACGTACCTAGATGTATATATATACATAGTAAATTTTTATTCATATATAAATTTTATATATGATATTTATATAAAATTTTAATTATTTTTTTATTTTTAATAATTAAAATTTATTTATATTTATTAAATATAATTTTCATTTTAATTTAAAAAATTATGATAAATCTCAACTATTGAAAGTAAAAAGATAAATAATTAAAATTTTATGTTAAGATATAAAATTTGTATATGAGTAAATCTCTCCTTATATATGTATATGTATAATGTCAAAAAATATATTTATTTTACCGAATCTTATATATGTTAGGTTATCTTGTTGTAATTTATATAAAAAATTAAAATATAATTAACAAATAATTTTATTTCATAATATAGTAACATAATCTTATGATATAGTAATTTTAAATATTGTATGTTTTATTGATAGAGGCCATGAATAAGTAGAAAACATGTGATTAGTGTAATAATTTATTATGTGACAAGAGTATCTACATTAGCTTCCATTGTTAAGAAAATAACATATAGTAATATAATACTTACCAAGCATGATAAATTTCATTAATTAATTTATGGTTTTTTTTTTCAGGCAGCTCTTCCTCAAGCTAATGTCACATTTGTTTTTGCAAAGGAGTACAGCGTCCATGCTGACATATATACAAAGCACAACGTAAGAATTTAATTTAATTGACTTTTTAGTGAATTGGTTTTTTAATTTTTTTTTAAACAAGTAATGGTGAGACAGAAACAAATTAGAGGTCATATATAAAAAAAAGGATAGTGTTGGTAAGTCATTTTTTAAAATTTTTTAAAAGATTTGTCTAAAAATTTACATTTTAATTAATATTTT